ACGGAGTGTAGCAGATCATTCCATATAGCTGTAAGAGGAGTAGAATTCATCAATTGATCACTCTCTCCATTATTTTTCAATGTCTACCTTTACATAGTAAAGCAGAATGAAGAAGCTTTACAGTCTCAAGATGATTACTACCTTTATATATTAATATTGCATTTTGTCCCCGCATGAATCCCAGGAAATAAGACGTAGTACAAACCAGTTGGAACTTATTTATTGTGGTAGAAATTACTAATAGAGCCCCAATGGCTATGGTGTGAAGAGGTCTCGCACAGTCAAAACCTTGGAATGGTGTATACTTTCCCCCGAGTCACCCCTTCGATTTATCGTTTGACTTGCCAACTTAGTTTTGTCACCTCTTAAAAACAGCACAAAGTTAGTTATCATGTCTCTTAAGAACAGTGCTTGCTGTCAGTTTGGTCTCTTCCCTTTTATAAGATCTGAATTCTTTTTCCAAATCTGTATTTATATGCCTCATTTTCATTTCAGGAAGATCATCTGAGAGCTAAATTCGTGTAGGCGAGTAAAACCTGGAGGTGGAGTCATAAATGCTGCAATTTTTAGTGCCACAGGTCCTGCACTAGAAAATGCAACCAAGGAAAGGGCTGGATCACTTAAGCCTGGAAAAGCTGTAATGGTCCTGCTTCCTCCAACTTCTCCATTGTTTAATAGGGAAGGTGTAACCCATGTTATACATGTTTTAGGACCAAATATGAATCCTCAGAGACCAAACTGTCTCAACAATGACTATGTCCAGGGCTGTGAGGTACTTCATGAAGCTTACTCATCCCTTTTTGAAGGGTTTGCATCCATAGTGAGGTTTCTTGTCGGATCCTCCAAGGGAAGCAATGGTAGATTACTAGAATCACAGATATGTCCTACAAATGGTGATTAGAGGGTCAAGAGGGAAGCCATCTATGAATCAGATGTAAACAAAAAATGTGAAGGATTTCAAAAAGACCTTATACCTAGTGTTAGAAATTATCTAAGTGGAAAAGAATACCCAGATAAGGAAGATGGTGGAGGCACGACTAAATCCTGGGGCCCATGGCCTCGTGCTCTTCACAATATTGCAATGCATCCTGACAAGCATAAGAATGTCGTGATAGAAAAATTGGATGATGTTGTAGTTCTGAATGATTTGTATCCAAAGGTCTTTCATATCTCTCTATCACGCACGTGCACATTCACTTTGGCACATACCCACGAGAAACAAAAGATTTTGTGTTAACGCTTGTCTTTTTTCTTCGCGCAGGCTCAGAGGCATCTCTTGGTGTTGGCAAGAGGTGAAGGTCTGGACCATCTTGCAGATGTAAGCAGAGAGCACTTCTCATTGCTGAAGACAATGAAAGTTGTTGGTGGACAGAAAAGTTTCTTCAAGAAAATAAATCGTTGGCATTCCGTCTTGGTTATCATTCAGTAAGTACTGATAGACCATGGAGTGCTTTTTTTATGTTATTTTTAAGTTCACTTATCTCCTTAGTGTTAGGACTACTTGCCTTTGGCTAACTCAGTTGACCACTTAGTAGTGAATCTTGCATTAGTCTACTATAGTATGAACCAGGGAATGACGTATAAGAATACATTGAACAGAAGCATTTTATTACATGTATGCTAGAGAAGATGAATTGGTTACAGATATTCAGAGGGTTAATGGAATTAGGAGATAAATGATTGAAGTATTGACTTTGACCTTGAAGGAACTTGTTTAACCTGGTGTCTCTATACCTCAGAGGCAGTTGATATGAAGAGTAGTTAAGTTTTAGCTATCAGCTGTTGCAAACAGAAACTGCAATCTTAACCATCATCCATAGTAAGAAGTTAAACTGCCAATACAAAAAACTGTCTACCATGGTTAGGCCACAGCTTATTTCGTTCAGCTTCAAGTTCAGGCCATAAATGCAACTGAAGGAGCTTAGCTTAGTTAGATAGCTGAAAGTATTTCTTAGAAAACAAGGGGGTTTAGATTTTCAAGTTGTGGTTTGTTCACCCAATCAAATTATTTTGTTCTAACTGGTTGAATCATTACCTCAGTTGCAGCAAGCAATGCTTGGGAGTTTTTTTCCCTCTCCATATTTTCTTATTGCAAGTGTGTATTGTTCAACTTCTGTTTGACGAAATGAATTCTCTCTTCTTATAGGCCCCTTCAATGCGACAACTGCACCTTCATGTGATCAGCCAAGATTTTGACTCAAAGCATCTCATGAATAAGAAGCATTGGAACTTATTTAATACCAATTTTTCCGGGATTCAGTGGTTGTGATACAGGAAGTCAGCGAATATGGCAAGGTCGCTTTAGAGTGGAGACAATTTCCTTTCGATGGAGTTGAGGTCTCATAGGTGTCAAAGTGCGCATCCTAACAGACCTCGCCTCAGATCACATTTCAGCTCTTGTCCTGCACGTTTCCCACTGCTCTGCTACAAAATGGTCGTCTTGTTATCTTGCCAAAGATGGCACTGTTAAATAGTTGTTCCCTTTGTCATATTTGTTTTCAAGTATAAATAACACTCATCTCAAGAGTCTCTTCTGCAACTTAAAATGATTTTATGAACTATGCTAAAGATGCCCCCACATAGTTGTTCTCTTTGTGGTTCAGTTCCGTGTTTTGAGTTTTGAATTCATTTTGGGTTTTGTGTTTTGAGTGTCCATTTTGAGATTGTTGAAAATGTGTTTTTTTTTACATTTTGAAAATTGTTTTGAAATTTTGACTTGATTATAACTGAAAACATCCAAAACGGTAATTGTCGTTTTGGATTTTCTTTGTAAATTTTTAACTTGTTTTCGAAAATAGAAAAGAGAACACGTTTTTACTGTTTTGAAAAATCGAAAACAGAAAACGATTTGAAAATAGTAAAGAGAACATGTCCTAAATGTTTGGCTGATTTTGTTATCTTTCAATACATCTTTGACATTCCAACACATTACCTCTTTTTAGAGCTTCCACATAGTTTGATGTATTTTTATTTTTATTTTTTTTGGAAAAAAAATTGCTACATAAGCAAAATAAGCCAATGTTAGAAAAAAATTCTCTGCAGTACAATCTAAGAGCCTGTTTGGTAGAGATTAAAATCGGATTAAAATTGAAAAACTAGCCGTTATTATTGACTTTTATTAGACGAGTGAGACCCAATAACGGTTATATTTTCAATTTTAATTGGATTTTAAGCCTTACCAAACATATTCACAATGTGTGGTAATCAAATGATTTATATAATTCTTAATTCATGAGTTGTAGGGGGTAAAAAAAGCCGAAATAAGTGATTTTAGCCCTTATGAAAAGAAAATGGATTCTTGAACCTCTTACGCTCATGTCACGTCGAGGTATTGGTGGAGGGGTGTGCTATTTGTTTACATCCATTAGACTTTTCTTGTGATTCAACATTGGAACCTTAATTATCAGGATAAACGGACGAAATTATAGTCACCAGAAAGTGATGTCAACCGTAAATTTTGGACCACAAGTGAAAAGGTGGTGTTGGCCATGTTACATCTTAAATAAAGTGAAAGGCATCTTATATCGATGACCAAGACCGTGTTTTCTAATTTTTTCACAAAATTTTTTCATGACTTGGATCTATTTCTTCTCAGCTTCATTTTTTGTATCAGTAGCACATCAACAGGAAAAAAAAATGAATAAAATTATCTCAACTTCAAGTACTACGGGAGCACGAGGACCATGAAAATAGCTAAATATCTAAGAGTAAGATGTGTGAATAGTAAATTATTGAATGATAAATAACTATAAGTGACGGAGTTACACGAATTAAATGACGGAAAATATAATATGTAAAAATAGTATTGAGAATAATCTGAAAAGCGTAACAAGATAAGATATATAGTATGATCATTATGCACAAATCCAAGTTTCAATACAGAAGATGAAGATAATGGCCCCCCTTTAATAGAGCATAGAGAAGTGCGTGGTGAGAATCATGCATATCGTATCTCCCCACATTACTCAACATTATAATTCATTACGTCCAATCAATATTAGACAGCACAATATTTTAGTGCAAATCAATATTTTGTGTGGTGTGTAAGTCATGCTTCTGGCTTCCTGCGACAATGCCTCTTCTATTCAAAATTTCTGATAAGGGGCGAATCTGTAATTTTAAAGAATGGCACTAGAAAGTAGTTAGTCAGTAGTCACCATGTTGTTTACAGGTCGATCCGATAACACAGACGGGGGAGTTGTCTATGAAATTGGTGAACGAGTCCTCTACTTCAACGGACATATTGACGTGGAGGGATGTATCTTCATGGTGGGGTCAAATTTTTCTTTGAATAACTATTTGGTTTTGTCAACGCGTCAATTCTGGGAGTTACACAACCTTAAGTCGAGCGATTCCTAGACCTTGGCTTAGTGCCTAGTAGCCTTATTGTTCATGGTTGAAAATCAGAGAAGCTCGCTTCAACTTGATAACCTAGGATGGAATTGGAGCCGTAGACGAAGCTGTGAATCCTAATCTATTCTCTTTGGTTTAAGATTTAACTATACTTGGCATGTGGACGACAACACTTTTAATAATTAAAAAATGAAAAAGGAACCAATTTTGATTGGAAAACACAAGTTATTTTCAAAACAAGCACGTCTCTCATATCATGACCACGAGTAAACATTTCGTTGGCAGTGTTACATCCTAAAGAAAATGGAAGGAGCTTTAGATTGATGACCAAATCATTCACGGCTAACATCTGAATAAAATCTAGTTGCGATGACTATCCAGAAGGGTCTCCATAGTGGGATATCTTTTTCTAAAGTAGGTTCCAAGAACCACATTCGACATGCTCCAGTATCGTGTCATACTCCTTTCACCAAAAAGATAAAAATTGTAAAGCATGAAAATCAATAGATATATCAAAATTAGTAAATGTAACAACACTCGAGTACAATATATCTTCAACGCGTCGAAATATTTAGAACATGGAAACGTAGCGCAAGATAAAACAGTTGGTATTAAATAATTCACAAAATTTGGAGAATCAACGTAGTCTACTGAGGGTTTGGATGGCGACTATTGGCTGCTGCGACTCTAGAACCCCATTCAAGTAGCTCTTTGCTGGTGTCATCCTTGTGAACAATCACTTCGATGAAGCATAAGCAGTCTTTCTTGTCTCCTGTTGCAGTTTCAATTGCTTGGACAAGTTCTTCTTCACAACGTACCTACATTAATAATGATGAGAAATAATTGGTAAAAGAATAACTTGCTTAACAAAGGGAGTTCATCTCCTACGTGATAATTGATAGCTCAATTACCTTAGTTGTATAGCAATTTCCTTCACCATTGTGGATGGCGTCTACTAATGCAGTGTAATTCCAGTTCTTGATTACATTGTAAGGCCCGTCGTGGATCTCTACTTCAATGGTGTAACCACCATTGTTTATCAAGAAGATTATAGTCTTCTGTCCACATCGGATCATTGTTGACACGTCCTGAGCAGTCACCTGCAACGTTAAATTCAAGTAGATACAGAGCTTAGATATACAGCCTTGCCATGATAAAAACCAATTCGAGTAGTTACTAAAAATAAAACTCTTGTCATTGAGATTGAACCACTATAAATCTATATTTTTGTTCGCACGGCTTAATCACTTGCACTTACATTATCAAGCCTAACGCCAAATACGAATTTACACCATATTATTATTCTCCCTTCTATAAATAAGAGATGAATAGATACCTGGAAGCTACCATCACCAATGCAAGCAATGACTCGCTTCTCTGGTACTGCTTGTGCATAACCCAGAGTTGCTCCCACTGACCAACCAATGGATCCATATTGCATTTGGAATTCATACCTGCAAACCAAAATTTCCATATAAGACCTCAATATCACATTGTCTAAGACTCTTCAAGGCAACATCAAACTGCACAAATATAGATTGTTCTAGTGCTAACCCGCATCTCGGTGGCAGTTTCAGTTTTTGGCAGTTGAACCACGAGTCCCCGGTCTCAGCAATGACAGCCGTTTCACTCGACAACATCGTCTGAATATGCTGGAACAGAACATTAACCCTCAATGGCTCCTTAGGCTCACACTTAAGAGGATGTCCATCAGGAACATAGATCCTACGGTAATTCTCATAAGCAGTCGTATTACACTTAAGCCTCTTCGCAAGAGCAACGAAGAAATCCTTCATTAAAACGCATCCAAATGCAGGTCCATTAGCAATTGTCACGCGATCAGGCTGCACAATGATCGCCTTCTCTTTCTTGAGAAGGAGAGAATATCCAACCGAGCTGTAGTCGTTAAAGATTGGGCCAGCGAACAAATATGCATCAGCTGATTCCACGATCTCTGCACAGAATGCTGTGCTCACTGCGCCCCAGTAAGTCCCGATGAAATGGGGATGGTGCTCAGGGACTAGTCCTTTGGCCGACGGCATCACTGCGAGAGCATAGCCACAAGCATCTGCTAATTCGACAAAGGCACCGCATGCCTTGGCAACACGAAGCTTCGGCCCACCTACCATCACTGGTTTCACAGCCTTGTTCAAGAACCCGGCTGCTGCTTCAACGGCAGCTTCCAAACCCATTTTATTACTCACCCTACATCAAACAGAACCACTATCATTAGTAAAATTAATCCACATTACAATAAAAAAAAAATAAAACAATGTTTCCGAATTACACTAACCTAAACAGTAAATTCTAGAAATGATACCACAATTATAACAGAAAAGAATTCTCAAGATTCGCCGCAGTAAAATACACCAGAAATTTAAACTTACTTGGGAGAGAGAATAAATGGAACAGGCTCCCGACTAAACGTGGGGTGAGGAATTGCCGGCAAGTTACAGCCCACACTTATATACACCGGCTTACTCTCCTTTAACGCCGTCGATATCGCCGTGTCTATCAACTCGTGAGCATCTTCCAAATTATTCACCACCGCCTGAAATTAACCCCCCCAAAAGAAGAATCATATCAGCAATAATTGTAATTGTGTGCGAAATTGAAAATCTAATATGCATATTTAAGCTATGTATAAGAGACCTGATAGCAAGTGACTGTTTGGAAGCAGCGGAGCTCCTGAGTAAAATCCGGTAACCCGATAGTGTGATGTAGGATCCGGTTAGTACCATAATCGTTGGAGTTTGGTCCGCCGACTATGCATATCACCGGAAGATTCTCACTGTAGGCACCGGCGATCGCGTTGAGAACACTTAAACCACCGACTGTGAAGGTAACAACACAAGCGCCGACTCCACGAGCCCTAGCATAGCCATCAGCGGCGTATCCAGCGTTGAGTTCATTGCAGCATCCAATCAAGTTGAGGCCGGGTTCAGCGATGAGGTGGTCAAGTAGCGTCAAGTTGAAGTCGCCAGGAACCGAGAAAACGTCGCTCACTCCAACCTGAACGAGCCGGCGAGCCAGATGGCGGCCTAGAGTGGCGTCGGCGGAGTTAAACGGCAGTGCATAGTTCTGAACGAGAGAAACGTCGCCGTTTGTGGGGACGCTACACACGTCTGTGCACATAGCAGAGTTACCCGAATCCACAGATCCAATTTTTGTATCCATAAAAAATGCTAATATGGATTGTTAACAAAGATAGAGTTGTGATTTGTGAATGCAAATAGGAAGAGAGATTAAAAGGTACGAGAAATGAGAGTGAATTTGTTGGGTGAGAATTGGGAAGTGGAGAAGGTATTTATAGTACAGATGTAAGTGGTGAAAAAGAAAAGGAAAAATCATGAAACAAGGGGCTGTTTCTTTCTCGTATTCGGTGGATTGTGGACTCTCTCTGTGTGTGTAAAACATTCTATTGACTGTAGAGGATTTTTCAGGTGAGGATGGCACTGTTTGGAGGACCAACTTAAAATTTATTTTTCCACAAATTTATTTCAAATCATACATTGAATCACGCCTTTTTCAACTCTTCAATCATGCCCCTGATTGGTATGATTTTAATTCAACATAAATTTCATTAACTTTTATTAAAATTTACTAAAAATTTGATTTTAAACTTCATCAAACGGGGATCATATATTTTATTAACTTTTATTAAAATCTATCGAAATTCTAATTTTTAACTAACGCAGATAAGATGTCTGTTGTTGAGATCTATCTAACGGGGAATATCTTTAAATTTCTTTCATTTAAAATTTTATTTGTACCGAAGTTAGAAAATTTTTGAAGATTATCGAGCTATGAATAGGAATATTCCCTGAACCCACGCGGAAGTAATTTTATTTTTACGTGTTAATGGTCAGATTGTCTATTACTAGCTCCAAACCGGCCTGCCTCGAGAAGGGGTTTTGTCTCAGCTGTAACCTGGTTTTGAAAAACCGTGGTATTTCTATTTTCCCTTCTTTAGCCCAACCAGTCAACCACGCCACATACGTTCTTGATTATAATACGATTTATAAACGACGGCGTTTCGGCACTGAAACCTGGAGCTTAATTTGGTTTGCTGAGTACTGGTTTCGGGTTGGGACTACCCACACGTCACACATGCATGTGGAAGGTCACAATATCCGTGACCCTGTCACACGCCCCATGAGAATGACTAATGAATAAATTTTTTGTTTTAAAATTTCATGGAAATTTAAATTGGGAGAACAGCATCAAGTCCATGCTCGAGGATCATTATTTGGGAAAAATGAAATTTTGAATAGTATTTTTTTAAAAAAAACATATAATTGAAAAGTAAAAAAAAAAAAAATTAAATTTATAAAAAGAATATTTTATTATTTGATTGTATGATATATATATATACCCCTACAATATATAAAAGAGCAAAATTTGTACTATTCAATATTCATAAGACATCATCTTTGTGTCATGTTGATATCATATATACTAATTTTACATTTTTCATTTTTTCCCCTCAAGCACTATGTAGTTTTCTTCTCATGTGACAGAGTTTTTCCATTTCTCCACACAAGCTCTTATACCTCTTTACTCATATCTTTACACAACCATTCAAGACTCGTCATTTCTTCTTCTCTCTTTACTATTTGTTGTTTAATTTCGCCTCTTTTTTCTATTTGGATTTCCTTAGATCTTATTTTCCTCTCTTTTGTTTTCTCTCTCAACTTCTCGGATCCCCTTTCACTTTCTCTCCATCGTTGTTCTTACTATTCATTTGAAATCAAACCATAGGTGACAAAATCACAGATTATGTTCACCATTTGTTCTTCTCTACGATTCAGTCATCATGTATTCCCTTTGGTGAACACTTTTTCTTTGGAGATTTTTCGTTTCTTCATACGATTGGAACCATGTCTCCCAAATTTCAATCGATATTGTCGTGTTCGCTTATTCTTTTCTTAAAATCCAAAAACTCTATAGTTGTTGAAATTAGATGTGTGTTTTTAAATCTTCGATTAGGTGTGTTATTTAAGTCCACCAGTGATGAGGAAATGATGTGACAGAATTATAGGGTTTTAGGGTTATGTGTTTGTCCTTTCGAATAAAGAAAATGAAAGACTGGAATGCAACTAAATCGAAAATTAGAATATTAATCAACTTGGATTGTGTTTTTCTGAAATTCTTGGTAAAATGATCAAGTCCATTGTAATATTTCTCTACTTCTCAATTGTTTGGAAGGGTTGGTAAGACGTGCATATATTTGATCTACAACTTTCACGTGTATTTTTCTTGTAAATAAATTATTGTATGATCAATCTTTTCACTTTTTGATAGCAATCATTTCATTAACTTGTATTATTGTTTTCCGGCTATATAAAAAAATCAATTACCCTTCATTTATTTATTTTTATCTCAGCACACATAATCTTGAAGTTACCTTTAGCACCATTTGAAATCTTATGCTAGGTTAAGTAGCTGACAAATGAGTATCTATTGAGCAGATGAAGCATGAGAAATTGTTTCACTTTGCAGAAAGAGTCATCACAAGGTTGTAAGTCAATGCTGATATTCGGAGGTACTCATAAATATTTAGAGCTTGTCTGGTAGCAATTAAAATGGCCCAAAAAAATCATTTTCCTACCATTGTATATCACTTCAACCGCAAACTTTGACCGACCATCTCACATGCGGGCCCCACTAACGATCAGAATTTTGATTACAATTCGGCCAAAATCAGCACCAGACACGCTCTTAATTTTCTTCCACTTTTTCTACATCGTGAATCCTTAAGCTATGTGACAGGTTTTGTACGATTTTAATTTAGGGACATTATCATGTTGTGGATCCCTAAGTTAATTGAAATATATGCTCTATTACAAGAAAATTACTTATTTTCAGGAAGAATTTACCTAAGGTTTAACATAATGAGGTCATTCCAAGGACAACCTTGCCATTTTTCTCAGAATNNCATATATTTCTACGAGTTCTGTAAATGGTATTAAATGGAATCAATATATATTGCTTTCTCATCGAATTAATGATTCTTGTTACTAGATAAATGTCTCTTTCTGTGTGTTAAGAAATATTATTGCTTGATGAATTAATGATTCTTATTATTAGATAAATGTCTCTTTCTGTGTGTTGAGAAATATTAATGTTTGACATTCTCTTCAACGTATTTGACTAAAAAATGCAAGGATGTGTTCTAAAAATAAATGCATCACTCTTAACATTAATACCAATTGGTAGGTCCATAAGTTCTATACATGTCAGGAGACAAAAAGGTAACTTATGCTTACCCAATTCAAGTTTCTTACCTTCTACATTGAGGGTTTGGTGAATAATTTATAAGCCAAATTCATATTGCAGTTGGCAGCGTTGGACTTCATAGTCTATACAGTTTTTGATGTACTTGCCATGACTGACTCAGGAAATCAAATTTCTTCTTTGGTAGCTGGTTATCGTTTATGGTGAGAGAAATGCTAATTATACGGCCAAACAAACGCCGACTTGCGAAAAAAAATTCCATCTTTACTTTTTTTTTTACTGTCTATCACTCTACCTTCTCCGTTGACTTAAAAAATAATTTTATCGTTATGGAAATTATTTTTGAATAATCTTTTATTTGCCACAAGTTTGTTATTGTATGTGCAAACCTTAATCTCAATGCTGCATTTGAGGTGAACCCTATTTTCTTTTTCTATTATTATTACTTATTTATTTTATGTTTCATTTTTGTTTTGTTCCCGATATACCTCTGGGTCTGAATTTGGCTTTATATATAGCATTTGTCATTCGCTTTATTAAATTTGTTTATGATATGCGTCTAGGGTTATAAAATGATTGAGCCAATTGAACTTTGCTTGAGATAGGCTTATCCATGGCTTGTTCAAGCTTTATCTTGTCACGTAAAGGAGTTAAGTTAATAAATAATTGATAAATGAAGTAACATGCAAATGACAAAGTTTATCAAATTGAACTCATTTTTAACTCTACAAAATAACTTGTTTGAGATTGATTTAGAAATAAACAAGTCAATCTTATGCTGCATTAAATACTTAGTGGGTCAACACTAACTTGGATCAATCAATTTGTGCTTCTATACATGTCAGGTTTAGATATTTTGTTTATTTATGTTTCAATTTTGTTGATAATTATCTCTTTTATGATGGGTTTTTCATAATTAATTATGGTTTACGTTATCCTCCTTTGTCCTTTTTTTTGTTAGTAATTTTTTCAAATTTTCTTTGTTACCTTTAGGTTAGTGGTGCATCGCGCGTTGCACGATTGCCGTTATATTTTTTCTAAGTGATTTTGTTAAAATGATAATCTATTTCAAAACGATTACCTAACCTCACACCCAGAATCAATGGACGATCGCGGGGCGAGAGTTTCAAGACTACTATTGGAAATCAAAGGATATGTAACATTTCTAACTTTTTTTGTTAAATCCAGTGTTCGTATCCTTAACATAGATTATGATTTCTTAACCTATTGCAGTAACTAATCAACAACCAAGCAAATCGAGTTAATACCCCATGTCTATAGAACCAATTTTGGGGAAAATAAATTTGATTTGAAAACTGAAACAATTTGATATTTGAAAATTCGTTTGCTATTTGCATCATCTGAAGACTCCTGAACAATGTAGTGCAACAACTGTTCAACCCGAGTTCTATCTATCAAACTAAACACCAATAAAATTTCACATTGTCTTCATAAAACTTCAAAACTAAAAGTGAAACGAGCAGGTCATGGTAAAGGTGTGATTGCCAAGGAACCATGTCTCATTAAAAAGAGACCCGTAACGTAGATGACAAGACTAATAAACAGAAATATGCAGCTGAAAAGTAAAAGTACCATACAAATTTATGAGGCGACTATTTAAGAATTTGTATTCTTGGATTATCTCTTCTTCATCCAGAAGCTCATTCATTGTAAAATTTTCATTGTCCAACGCCGACTTAACATAAAGGTGACAAAGAAAATATGAAAAAAATTACTAACAAAAAAAAAAGACAAAGGAGGAAAATATAAACCATAATTAATTATAAAACCCCATTATAAAAGAGATAATTATCAATAAAATTGAAACATAAATAAACAAAACATATAGTCCTGACATGCGTAGAAGCACAAATTAATTTATCAAAGTTAGTGTTGGCACACTGAGTATTTAGTGCAGTATAGGATTGACTTGTTTATCT